ATATATATATATATATATATATAGGAGACTAATAATTGAGTCATTTTTTATGCAGGAGTGAGAGACAAATATGGATCACTAGATCTTAACACGAGTGATTAATATTAAAAGACAAAATCATGTGACTTTTTTTAGTGGTTATGCAACTTTAAGTAATTATAAACTTGGCCATTCATATATGTTTGTATAGTCAAAATTTGTTCTCTCGTTATCATATAAATGTAATCCTCTTACTAGATACATCGCACGCACACTGTTGAAGTGCTTTTGCCTAGTTTGGTGCACCACTGAAACCTATTATATAATATTTATGCTACAGGGGGAGAAACTCAATAAGCTAGTGATAGATCCTTCTAATGCTAAAGAATTTGAGAGACCATTCAACTCCCACGCCAGGTTAAATGATCAAGCAGAGGTAAACAATCAGGTCTGTGGTCCTACCAATGCTAAACAATTGCACACACATAACACTGCTAAAGTGCTCTTGCCTAATTTGGTGCACCACCTTAATCCTTTTGTATTATTTATGCTACAGGAGCAGAAACCCACTAAACTGGTAACAGATTCTATGAATGCTAAAGATTTTGAGAGACCATTCAATTCCCACGCCAGTTTAAATGATCAAGCAGAGAAGAGCTCTGTAAACAATCAGGCGACTGATTTTGACTCACCTAAAATAGATTGTGGCCCGAATCACGTTGAAAATGCATCATCCGAAGATCCAACTCTTTAGGTTCCATGCATACACAGCATTTATCTGTATTGATCCAAGTTAAAATTTCTATGAGGTAGAGTATAAATCATCAGTAACGCTAAAAATATAGATTTATATTTGCTCAAAATTTTTGTACTATTCGTCTTGGAGCCTTAGAACTGTCGAATTGTATAGATGAGAACTGTAAATATACTTTTATTGCTGCATATTGTCAAGTTGTGCTGTTACTCAGACTTCACCTAACACGTCGTCTTTTGGTGGGCAATTTTAAACTTCCTCCTGCCCCCGAACCCAAATTATTCATAATACAATAGGGTCTTCTGGGAATTTTTCTTTGGAGAGGCTATTTCCTTCGAATATTTTTACTATGGAACAAGAAAAAAAAATTAGAACGAAGAATAGTTTCGTCCATGTCTTAAGTTTCTATCTCGTGAGAACGTAATAAGTTTGACACTAAAGTTTATTGAAATAAACTTGAAAAAACACTAATTTTGACAAATTTCATTGAGACTTGTTGAAGTAAGTTAAAAAGAGAGTCTGTTACTTAAAATTAGACTTTTACATTTCAATTACGATTTTAGGAAGTCATTTTTTTTAATTGAAACACGGTTTCAAGGTAGAATTCCATAAAATTTTAACATAATAGTTAAAAAGGAAAAGAGTAATCAATCATTTTAAATTTTACAATTTTTTATAAATAGGCATCATTGACTTTTATTTTATCCTAATTAATCTTTAAATTTTATTTGATTTGTAATAGTTAACATGAATTTTAATTTTGTTTTAATTAATTCATAAATTTTATTTCTTTTATAAATAAACACCTTCAATTTTGATCTTATTCTAATTGATTTTGATATTTAATAATTTATTATTTTTACAAAGTTTTTATATTACCAATTTAGAGATAAATTATTTATCTTAGATATCATTCACTAATCTTTTTCTTTTTATGTTACAATTATTTTTTTAAAATATAATAAAAATACAAGTTTAGAAAAAATTTAAAAAAGAATGATAAAAACAATAAGAAAGTCTTTATTTGATTTTTTCTTCTTCTAAATTATATGGTATTTTAATATATATGAAAATAAAATTAATATATATGTACCAAAAAATTAATATATAAGTGTGATTTAAAATAAATAAATGATTGATATTTTTTATCTTAGTAATTTAATCTCAATGTAATATAAGAGACATGCAAAAATCTTAATTAAGATAAAATTACAATCAAGGTGTTTATTTGTAAAAATGGTAAAATTTAAAGATAAATTATAATAAAATTAAAGTTTATGATGTATATTTACTAACAAGATAAAGTTTAAGGATCAATTATAATAAATTTAAAGTTTATAATATCTATTTATTAAAGGAATGAAATTTAAAGGAGTTAAATACTTTTTTACCTAATTAAAACTAACATTTATTTTTACCTTAACTTTTGAATCATAATCCCTAATTTCATTATTAAGATGCAATGCTTTCTCTTATTGACAATTCTCACCATTATTATTATCTTTATTATTGTTATTTTCTGTGTTTTTAATATTATCATTGTGATCATTATTAATATTACCACCATACTTTATTAGTGTTATTATTATTATTATCATTGACATTATCCCTATCCATGCATCTTCTAACATTTGATATCATTAATATTATTATTATTATTATTATTATTATTATTATTATTATTATAATAATAATAATAACTATTACTCTCATTACTTCATTGTTATTATACAACTCTATGTCCCTGATTTTTTTAAAATTTAAATTCAAATTTAAAATGATTTCACTCATTATTACCTTAATCAAAGGAATCTAACAAAATTGGAATTCAAACTAAATTATAATTATACTTTTCAATTCTTTGTACAATCCAAATATAAAATTTACGATATAAACTAGTTTCAAATTTGACAATTATTATTGTAATTATAATTCTAATCTACATTTGTAATTTCATGCGCCAAACTAATCTTTATAGGATTTGTTTATAAATTCCAACAATTTATAAAATTTCTTTCTAACATCTGTCAAATTAACATAGATCAAATGATGTGAAGTTTTTTCAACTTAACAAATGATCTGCAGTTGAAGTTGAAGTCTTAGATATACATTCACATTAAATATCTAGAAACCGAGTTTTATCTCCTATAATAATTTTATCTGATATGAATAAAATTGTCTTCTCTTATTATATATATAAAAAAATATGTCAGATATATTTCACTTTGTTGTATTACATTTTCTCATATTTTAAAAAATTTAAATAATGAAATTAGTATGGTTTATTTCACTATATTTCATTCAATCATAACGTAAAAGTTCTTGTAGGCACATAACTTTGCCTTTCGAAAAGTTCGTACTGGTTTCTTTGGTGAGCACAAAAAAAGTTCGTACTGTTGAACTTGGTAACGTTAAGAATATTAAATTGAGCATCAGAATTTCCCAAAAGTTAGGAATAAAGTTGCACTTGCTCTTTTCTCGACACGTTACCGGCATCAGTGGAAACACACACGATTTGTTGTAAAATACTAAAATCGGTTCTCAAAATCAAATATAATTTAAAAAACACAAGTACACAAATATGTGTACTATGTGTTTAAAAAAAGAATTATATTATGCGTTTATTTTTTACGTTTTGTAAGTTTAAAGAATTATGCTCTCTCAAACAATTAAAATTTATCATAAATATATTTTTTTAAAGTATATTTTATAAAAGGCAATAACTTATCATAAGTGCTAAAATTTGTTGATACATAAATTAAAAATCGACTTTTTGAAGAGTCTAAAAGGAGAAATTTTTACAAATTAAATTAATTTTAACTTTTGACGAAACTTCTTTATTTTTTTCTTCTATAAATAATTACAAAAAAAGTTCACCTAAATAGATTCATATAATTTCACGTGTTTTTATTTTAATACATTAAGTTAAATCCTTATATTATCAGCTGTCTATCCTTCATAAGATCAACCATTTATCATATACTTTTTTCTTTGTTATACAACTTTCTAATAAAGAGAGTGTGTGAATACAACTTCTCTTAAAAGAAAAAGTAAGAATGGCCAAAATAACAAAAGCAAAACAGAGAATTGAGGTTGTCGTTTAAGGAAGTAGTCCCCTCTAAATTGCAAAAGTTTAAAAACTAAAGCATGCAACAAATGTAATTGGGCAGTGTACAGTGGCCACCAGTATAAGAATGCGCATTAATATCAAAGGTGACTCGACACAAAATCTCCTTACCACATCAATGAATAAATTTGGGCCCATTATGCCAACAGAGTTTGGTCACTTTGTCAACTATAGTTGTTTAATGAATCCATGGTCAAGGGCAGAGTAATGGTACTTGAACAAAAAATGCGCATTAACTACTGTATTTCTTGGATCTGCACCACGACTCACGGTGCAGAGTGCACCTCTCTTTTACTCTTAATCACGTTTTATGACGAGGCATCAGTGTACTGGTGAGAGTTTAGGTAATTTTTATGAGTCTTCGTTGCACACACACACGCAAAGTGGATAATCCAAAAGGTTATCTTCACTCAAAATGCAAAATTTTATATTTATGAAAGAATAATAATACATCCATATGTTTGAACATATCCTTCTCCAAATACGCTTATGACAAGCAAAATCTACAAATACGAGAGATGGAGGCTTTGGCAACTTAAGTTACAGAGTGTATAACGAGTTCTGTCACTCATTCTTGGCAGAAGCAGCCTGTCTTGCACCAACAGAGAAGAACTCAGAGATGACTTCAAGGGGCATGCCCTTTGTTTCTGGAACCTTCAAAAACACAAATATCCAGGAGATGAAACAAACAATGGCATAAATGCCGAAGACACCAGCAAGTCCTAATGAGCTGAGCATCACAGGCAGCGAGTATGTGATAATGATGTCTCCAATCCAGAACACTAATGCACAGATCGCAATGCAGATGCCACGCACCCTAGTGGGGAAAATCTCTGAACAAAGGATGTTTGGAATTGGTCCGTAACCCATGACAAAGCAGCAGAAATAAACCACAACGCATACTGTTGAGATTGCTGCATGGATTACGTTGCCAAAATCTACTAAGCTTCCAATGACCAAAATAATGAGAGACACAATCAGCACGGGAATTGTAGCAAGTAGCAACTGCCTGCAATTAACCGAGTATGTTAATGACAACAAATCAAGATGAACAGAAGAAAAATACTAAAAATGTCATGTTTTGAAAGAAAAAAAATCTGCAAATTAGCTTGGGTAGAAACCAGGCCTGTTCATTTTTTTTCCCTTTCGAATGCATGTGTCTGGAAAGCGCTAGTGCTAATCTCTCTAGTAACTGAATGAGAATTTTTAAGTTTAAATTTCTATGAGCTCCAGGGTGTGCATAATCAGGAGACACTAAATTCTACATGATTTCTCTTTCCTTGGTAGTTATGCGTCAACTTTACTTGTGTTTTACAGTGAAACGCGTTAGGATATATATCTCAAGGGGATCAAAGGCAATTTTCTGTTTTTATGTCATTAAATAAATGAGGTATCAATCGATTTCGGTATTAAAAATAAAAATCACTTTACAAAATTCATGCAATAGAAAAGATCCTCGAATACATGCAAGCAAAAGTCTAAACAGGGATATATCGAGAAAACTAGAGAGCAGGAAAAAAAAAACAGAGAACGTACCTTCTGCCTGAAACATCCATGAGCTTCATAGCTAGGCCTATACAAGGAAGCATCAAGAAGGTTGTGAAAGCACTGATAAGGAATGATGCTGACTCTGAGCCAATGCCTATATCTGAAAGAAGAACTTCAACACCGGCCTCTTCAAGGATTTGAGGAGTGTAATATAGAACCCCATTTATCCCTGAAAACTGTACAAACATGCAGAATTAGGTGTCAGTCATCGACAAGGAGACATGAACAACAAATTGATGCAGTAAACTGGAGAAGCAAACTAGAAATTCAGCAAGGAATAGTAAGCTTTGAATACATAAAGAAAACAACAAAGAAGAAATCTAAGTGTGTATTTGGATTGCTGTTACAAGCGCACCAAACATCCGTTTGTTCATTCCAAAGCGCAAAATGGAGAAGCAACAACATTGATGGATTAAAAAAAAGTGGATTATGTTCAACAAAAAGGCAACCCAAACACACCCTAAATCACTCATACTCCAGTCCGGTAAAGCATGCTGATTTGAGGACATCTGATATTTTTAA